AATGGGGTGTTCCGGATGAGTTTGTTACGAGTAAAATTTGAATCTGGAACAGCCTATTTCGAAATTGGAACGACCTATTTTGGATTTGAATTTTACTCGTAACAATCTGGGTCAAAACAGCTCGTTCTGGATTAGGAAAAACCCATTTTGACCTAAGATTTCTAGGCTATTTTAGAAACTTGGAACGATCCATTCTAGATTGGGAACGATCCGTTCTGCGCTCCTAATTTGACCTCTTTGGGCTTTCGGGCCTTCTAATGACCTCCTAGTTCATTCTGATGTTAATGGGCCATTTCAGTGTTGTGTTGGCTCGTTCTGACATCCTATTTATGCTTTTGGGAACTCTTTTGTCTCGTATATAAGGCCTATTTCATTATTTGCATATCCCAGACTAAATTAAGTGTCTATAGGAGGCACCTTGGGGGCCTCAGATTGGTGATAATAGTTAGAGCCACCTAAAAATATATATGCAACTTTCTACAGGGACCTCAACCCATGGATGCACGTGACTGTTCGTGGGTGTATGTTGTTTGAACATGTGTGTTCATTATTTGTATGTATTGTTTGTTTTCCAAAGGAGTAGGCTAGAGTTTTTTTACAAATAGTAGTAATTAGGGTTTAAGCTAAACAATACCCTTTTAAGCATGCTTAGACCATCATTATAAAGCATACAACATCATATAGGCATAATCCCTATTTATGATAAAAGCATGTACAAAAAATATATATCGAATAAACGCGTTATCATGCATCATTCTTCATAGAAATAAAACATGATAAACGTAGGCAATAAATACAATGGCATGCAAATTTTAGGCTAACCATTGACCCATCATTCATTTTTATTTTAGATATGGAAGGCTTAGGTAGCAACATGCATGGCAGTTGAAAAAGGTGAATATTCTCAATCAGCTTATGCCAAGGATAAATAGTATCTACATATTAATGCCAAGAGAGGCCTGCCTTGACTTTAAGAGATGCTATGGGAAGGTCCTTGACCTTTGAGGATATATGTCGATCTAGCCTTCATAAGAGTCTTGGTGCACTTCTGGAAACCTAGTTTACACTGCTTCAAGTTTCAACATTTTTACATAGTACCCACTCTAGAGGAGTATAATCAGATGCTCCGATGGTCCAAACCAGTTGGGGTCTATACGGTCAAGGAAGATTATATTTCAGTTAATAGAGTGGCCAACCTAATTAGATTGCCTCCCCATCTATTCACCTTGGTAGGAAATGGGGCAATTAGAGGTTGGAAACATACTATGTTGGAAGATCACCTTGTTAGTTTGGCTAATAGTGAAGATTGGTCAAGCTTCAATAAGACTCTGGCATTGATCATGTTTGGAACGATGCTATTCCCCTTCCATGTAGGGGTAATTGATCATGTCGCAATGGACGTCTTCTTCGCCTAGGACATGCATGCAAGAAGTCTCATGCCTACAATTTTTGCCAACACCCTACTTTTAGTTGAGATTTGCAACCAAAAGTCAAGGAAAATTATGAGATGCTGCTTCCCAATGTTGTTCATATGGGCATTTTACGCTAACGACCATATAGGAGCACTACCCGATCCTTTGAGAAGCTTCTCCAAGATTCCATGTCCAAGGAAACATGCAACAGAATGGAAAGACGAAATGGAAAGTCACCTTACCATTAACTGGACGTGTCCATGGTTCCACTTCAGAAGTGTTCTAATATGGTGTGGAGATTTTTCGAGTGTTCCTCTGATGGGTCTGAGGGCATGTATAGCCTATTTCCCAAAGCTAGCATTGAGGCGTGGTTTAATATGGCCATTTGCTATTATAAACAAAAACACAAAATCGGTCACATAATATTTACCTTGAACGTGAAAATTGTTATTATCATCAAGCAAACAAAAAATATGATAAGACAAATAATTAACTATTTGAGACAACTTCATTCATCAAATATTAATCAACAAGAAATAAAACAAAGGGATAGACCAATTAATGGAGTCAAAATCAATTTTTTTAGGAACATTATGTTAGGAAAGAACGCAGAGAGGCAATCAAGTCAAGAGAATTGAATGCTTAATTTAACAGATTGCTAGAGGAGAAATAAAGGAGAATTCAGTGTTTTTTTTAACACATTTGTAGATTTTAGGATTGGGTAGGAGCTTCTTCTGTGGTTGTTTCCATTTTTTGCTTTTAAAAACTAAGAATCTTTTTCCCTCAAAAAAAAAAAAAAAAAAACTAAGAATCTTTTGAGTTGGGCAACAGTCATACATTGGTTTTTGATCATGTGTTCCATCAATTGATCCATATAACCGGATCCACGAAGCGATCGATGCAAAATTTCAGATTATGAACATGGATGTTTGTGTAATAATCAAAGCCATTGAGGATTCAATAGTTGCAGATTTAGTTCGCTTGGATGCCATCTGGGAGAGTCACCAACTTTTGATGATGAGTCTGAAACAATTAGAAACAAGGATTGGTACAGATAGGTCAGAACATGATGAACAATCCAAAGTCATTTTAGAGTTTGAAGAGGAAAACACAACCACTAGGTAAACAGTGAGGAAAAATGGTAGATGTCAAAAGTGATGGTGTGGAAGTAGAGTTTGTTCAAATTAAAGAGATGGTAATCAATTGATTAATGCCTCATTTGGATAAACATATCCATAAGTACTTACAGGAAAAAAAATACAAGGAAAAAATATTAGCTTATCCAAAGATACCTTAGAAGGAATCTTTTAAAAGAACCAGTTGTTCAATTCAGAAAGAGTAGACTAGAGGCCATGATAGCAACAATACTAGGAATTCTGTTTTCACAGTAGCAGAGTCATTATAGAGTTTAGACTCAATTCTTATTCAATTACCATGGAGACCAATCCAATTAATTTGAAAATAAATTCTCTTGCGAAAATTATTAAAATAAGTTCAAAAAAATTATTATGATAGATTATATTAAGAAACTTGCTAAAAACAAGTTTAAATTCACTAATAAAATCATGAGCAATTTTTATAAATTTAAATAATTTTTTTTATAAATTATACCAAGAGATGTGGTAGAAAGGAAAAGTTAAGGATTCCTTAATACATTTCCATAATGAATAAAGTCTAAAAAATTATTAAAGGTGTCACAATAATTAATGGGTCTATCATATGAGTCCTCGCCTAATAAAATTAATATAAATAATATTTTTTTAAAAAAAAAGTATTTTTTATATTTATTACAAGATTATTTATCATTAATTTGTCTAGATCCAAAAGCTAATTTGAGTGTTAGAATATTTTTTACAACTATATCTTTTTCTCTTCTTTAAACATGTATATCCCAGGACCTTCAAACTTGTTATAAAAGGAATAAGTACTAAAGACTAATGAGAATGAGAACTTAGACAACCAGAATGAAAGTGACACAATTATTTATGTCTCTTCATGTTGGTATATAATCTTTTCTAGATTCCTCATTTATTTTGTCAAGGTGAGCTTTTTCCTTCAATATTCTTATGTGTGGTCCACGTTCACTATATTGGCAAGTTTTACATTGGCTGCTAAAGTCCTAAGACAAAATTGGTTTCGGAGTTTAAATCCATTTCTAAATTCTATTTAAATTTTAAAAAACTAGTTTATGGTTTATCATTGATTTTAGAACCATAACAGTTTCAAACCAGTTCACGAAAAGTCTAAATTGTTTTTTGTTTTTTCTTTTTACAAGTTTTATGTTGGTTGCCGAATACCAAACAAAAAACTCATTTTTGAGCTTACAGTAGGCTTACTGTTTATACACATACTTTATCTTCCATCCACTTTCTGTCTCATTTTTCTATATTTCACATTTTATCATATCTATTATCATATCAATTATTTTTTTTCTTTCTATTTTTATCTTCTATTTAACCATTTTCCACTATATCAATTAACAAGCCTTGAAAAATATTTCAATATTGGGAATATACTTAAATATTTTAAAAAGAATAAATTAATTTTATAAAAAAAAATTTATTTATATTTCAAATATTTAGATTTAATATATTTTAATTATTTTAATATTTTTTAATTATTTTATGATTTATTTCCTATTTTTAGAATAAGATAATATTAATATTTAATTTTATATCATAATTTTTTTCAATAAATAAAGATCTCATGAAAATTAGATTACATCTCTCTGATAAAAATATATCTTTTCAAAATATAAATATAAAATAATCCATCACCAAAAAAAAAGGAAAAAAAAAAAAATACAAGGCCACTCATTCATTCACGGGATCCACTCATGCGAATACAGCTAGCTGACACTGATAGAATTGTAATAACCTACTGTCTGTTAGTTGTATGTATCTATCTATCAGTAAAAGCAATCATTCATTAAATACATTATTGCTCATTTCATTAATTAATCAGTAATGTTTTACCAGAATCTGCAAATACTTTGCCTAGATAGAAATTGACTAAACATACACGTGGTCTACATTTGTGTGGTCGAGAAGAGTCACATTTATTGGTTGGAAATAAAACTTGATCTATGGCTAATAATAACTCTGCTCTATAGTAAGATAGTGACTTTTCATCTCTCTGTGACATACTCAGCAGGTATTTTTATTGCACATGACTTTATTAACAAGGATCAGACAAGTAAGTTAAGAGCTACCAACTAATTCCATTTCATGAACATGCTAAATCTTGACCGAACATGTTTAAAACATATTAATTGACTAAACGTGCTAAACTTGCTTAAATATTTCATTATGATCGATTATTAAGCTAATAAAGCTGGGGTGTTAATACATCAAATAAATTTGGGAAATATTCCAATTCAGGTATCACAGGTGATTTATGTATTTATTTGTGCTGTTTTAGTGTTGTTGAAAATCTGCAGGACAAGTGTTTAACTTATTTAAGAAATAAGACCCGTTCTTTTTATGCTGTTTGCTAACATGCTTAATATGACAATTAATGTGATGGACTTAAAGTTTTGGAGGTATACTGATATAAATGGTAACTTCATTTAGTGATTGAAGGTAGACTAAGTTACCCAATGTCTGTGGTGTCGACAAGACTCTACAATTATTGGTCGACATAAAACAAAAAGATGTTCAAAACCTGAAAGTAAAGCCATCATTCACAGAATAGCTTATAACTACTCATTTCATCATAATATTAACCCTGCAAGGCACTTGACGTGCACTGAGCTGCATTACAAATGCATTCCACGCCCTTTCTTAATTCCTACCATATATGGCAGCAACATTGGTTGGTGGTGCTCTTCTTTCTGCTTTCCTTCAGGTTGCATTTGACAGACTTGCTTCTCGTCAAGTTCTGTACTTCTTTCGTGAAAAAAAACTTGATGAGAACCTATTGAAGAAGTTGAAGAGAAAGCTGCGATCCATCCATGCTTTTGCTGATGATGCAGAACTACAACAGTTCAGAGATCAACATGTGAGAGCATGGCTTGTTGATGTCAAAGAGGTTGTGTTTGAAGCTGAGGATTTGCTGGATGAAATTTATGAACTCTCCAAATGCCAAGTGGAAGCTGAATCTCAGGCTCAAAGCATTGATGACAAGGTGTGGAATTTCAATTTCTCTATATCTCCTATCAGTTTGCTCAACAATGAAAATGAAATTGAAACCAGGATGACACAAGTCCTTGATGACTTGGATGAACTTGCTAACGAAGGCACTCATCTAGGTTTGAAAAAGGCTAGTGGTGCTGGGTTTGGATCAGTAAAGGGTAGTATAGTGTTACAGAAATCACCATCAACATCTTTGTTGAGTGAAAGTGTTATTTATGGTAGGAATGATGATAAGGAAAATATCATTAGCTGGCTCACTTCTAACACTGATAACAAGCTATCAGTACTTACAATTGTGGGTATGGGTGGGTTGGGTAAGACCACACTTGTCCAACATGTGTACAATGATCCAAGGATAGGGGGTTACTTTAATCTCAAAGCTTGGGTCTGTGTTTCCAAGGATTTTAATGTTTTCAACTTATCAAGAGCAATTCTTGACACAGTTACCAAGTCAGTTGATAATAGTAGAGAGCTAGAAATAGTTCATGCAAGACTGAAAGAAAAATTGTCAGGAAATAGATTTCTTCTCGTTTTAGATGATGTTTGGAACGAAAACCGACTTAAATGGGAAGAAGTGCAAAAATCTCTTCTTTTGGGGGCTCAGGGAAGTAGGATCCTTGTCACGGCACGCAGCACGAAAGTGGCTTCTGCCATGAGGTCAGAAATACACTTCCTGAAGCAATTACAAGAAGATCATAGCTGGCAGTTGTTTGCAGAACATGCATTCTCGAATGATAGTTCTCCACCTACTCCGGACTACAAAGAGATTGGTACAAAGATAGTTGGAAAATGTGGAGGACTTCCTCTTGCCTTAAAAACAATAGCAAGTTTATTACAAAACAAATCAGTTTTGGAATGGAAAAACATATTGCAAAGTGAGATATGGGATTTAGAGCAAAGTGATATTATCCCAGCTTTAGCTCTAAGCTATCACCACCTTCCTTCCCATCTCAAAAGATGCTTTGCTTATTGTGCCATATTCCCCAAAGATCACAAATTTGACAAGGATAGTTTGATTCAGTTGTGGATGGCTCAAAATTTTCTTCAATGTTGTCAACATAGTGCAAGCCCAGAAGAAGTTGGTGAGCAGTACTTCAATGATCTATTATCTAGGTCCTTCTTTCAACATTAGTATATGTTGTTGTAAGGAAAAATATTAGCCTTAAAATTTGAATTGTTAAGGCTAAAATTTGAGTTCAATCTGAGATAGTTTGAAAATTTGACAAAAGTACCCCTGTAAAAAAATTGAGACAGTTAAATTTGACAAAAGCAACCGAGACAATTTTTTTACGAAAAAAACTTCAAATAACCAAGTAAGTAAGAAATCGGCAAAAAAGAAGGTGTAAGACGAGTACTTCCAAGGAGGTCACCCATCCTAGTACTACTCTCGCCCAAGCATGCTTAACTGCGAAGTTCTGATGGGATTCGGTGCATTAGTGCCGATATGATCGCACCTGACAAGTATTCCGCAAAATATTAGTATATGCGGTTGTAAGAAAAAATATTAGCCTTAAAATTTGAATTTCTAAGGCTAAAATTTGACTTCAATTCGAGATAGTTTGAAAATTCGACAAAAGTACCCCTGTTAAAAAATTGAGACAGTTAAATTTGAGAAAAGTAACCGAGACAATTTTTTTAAAGAAAAAAACTTCAAATGACCACGTAAGCAAGAAATCGGCAAAAAAAAAGAGGTGCAACACGAGGACTTCCCAGGAGGTCACCCATCCTAGTACTACTCTCGCCCAAGCACGCTTAACTGCGGAGTTCTGATGGGATCCGGTGCATTAGTGCTGGTATGATCGCACCTGACAAGTATTACGCAAAATATTAGTATATGCGGTTGTAAGGAAAAATATTAGCCATAAAATTTGAATTTTTGTCTATCTCGTGAAAAAATTTGAGTTCAATCCGAGATAGTTTGAAAATTTGACAAAAGTACCCCTGTTAAAAAATTGAGACAGTTAAATTTGAGAAAAGCAACTGAGACGACTTTTTTTAAGAAAAAAAATTCAAATAACCACGTAAGTAAGAAATCGGCAAAAAAAAAGAGGTGCAACACGAGGACTTCCCAGGAGGTCACCCATCCTAGTACTACTCTCGCCCAAGCACGCTTAACTGCGGAATTTTGATGGGATCCAGTGCATTAGTGCTGGTATGATCGCACCTGACAAGTATTACGCAAAATATTAGTATATGTTGTTGTAAGGAAAAATATTAGCCTTAAAATTTGAATTGTTAAGGCTAAAATTTGAGTTCAATCTGAGATAGTTTGAAAATTTGACAAAAGTACCCCTGTAAAAAAATTGAGACAGTTAAATTTGACAAAAGCAACCGAGACAATTTTTTTACGAAAAAAACTTCAAATAACCAAGTAAGTAAGAAGAATTTGAATCATTGCCTGAACTCATTCCATCTCTTCATGAGCTATATATACAAGATTGTCCAAAAGTTGAGTCATTCCCTAAGGGAGGTTTGCCATCAAATCTAAAAAAGATATCTCTCTATAATTGCTCCAAACTTATAGCATCACTCAAAGGGGCTGTTGGAGCCAATCCTTCTCTAGAATCCCTGTGCATTGGAGAGTTGGATGTTGAGTATTTTCCTAATGAAGGTTTTCTGTCACCCTCTCTTGTTTTATGCATCTCTGGTTTTCCTAATCTTACAAGACTCAACTACAATGCTCTTTGGCACATGTCCTCTCTCAAGATATTGGTTCTGGAAGACTGCCCCAACCTCCAATGCTTGCCACAGGAGGGTCTACCCAAATCCATTTCATATCTTAAAATTTTTGGCAATTGTCCATTGCTCAAACAACTTTGCCAGAAACCAAAAGGTGAATATTATGGAAAGATTGCTCACGTTGAAAAAGTGATTATAGGGTAGTGATGTTGATTTTTGAAAAGGATAAAACATGTTCTTAGTCTTTTGTAACCCTTTTTAAATGTTATCTAAATTATTTTTACTTTTTTTTATATATATATTAGCGTTGGCTCAACCGAGTTGCTTTAGAGTTAGTTTGACTCAATGTTTTTTTTTATTGCGAGTTAGAGTGTGTTGGGATACAAACAAAGTCCCACATCGATAAAATAACACGACAAATAACAACTTATATAATACAAACATACTTCAATGATTGAGAGGCCTTTTGGGTGATGACCAAAAAGCAAAACCGTGAGGGCTAAGGCCCAAAGCGGACAATATCTCATCATTGTAGAGTATGTTTGGGTAATAACCCTATAAAATTAACTCATTAAAATATCCCCTCAGACAAATACCAATATGCGGACAATATCTCATCATTGTAGAGTATGTTTGTGTAATAACCCTATAAAATTAACTCATTAAAATATCCCCTCAGACAAATACCAATATCCCCCATCAGAGTGGGCTTAGCTGGCTATGTTTGCTTATTTGAGTTAGTTAAGTTAACTGTAAGGACATGTTCGGTTAAATTTTTTGATAAACACATTTAGGAGACAATTAAGAAGAAAAAATAAAATGAATTTTTTTATAAATTAAAATTAATTTTTGTAATAGTTAATTTGTAGAACTTTTATCTAATTAACTTTTTTAAAATCGTATTTTTAATTCTTCCATAAACTAGTTGTAATTTATGAAAAAATAAATTTTCTTTCTTATTTTTGTTTATTAAAGTATTTTCAGATAAGTTTATCTAAATATGTTATAAATGTTTTTCTTATTTTCTTAGAGGTCATCAATCGATTCTGATGCTATTTTGTGTCTTTTTTGTTTTCTTAGTTGAAAGTCTGCCTAGCTGATCATAAAGATTATTATTATTTTTTATTTTGGCCGATTCTAATGATTATTTTTAAATAGCAGCAAGATCTGGAATTTATACATAGATGAAAAATAATCAAATTAATTTCCTATAACTCGAGTAGATGTTTAGTGGGCAATATACAGTCAATTATTTACAAATTGATGTAGCCACAAAGAAAGGGGAACACAAATCTCCAAATTGGTCTGCCAATCATCAAATAAAAATAAATTATTACCTTAATCATCCCCCTTCTTCTGGAACAACTTTCGTACCATAATACTAAATTCCTAACAATTCACACATACATTTTTACATATAATCACAGACACTACTTATGAACCTTGTAAACCACAAGAAACTTTGTTGTTGACGATTTTTTCATCAAAGTGATGCACCCATTTAGTTGATGATAAAATATGTCTCTACTTTGGTCCTTTTAGAGCTTGGCAATTACCCCATTCTGAATTGGCTATTCTTCTTATCATCCAAATCACTTGCACTTCGGGGAACAGGTTGAGGAGAAATTGAAAGAAAAAAAAATGTGCTGCATCATGAATATCAGGACAAAATGAATTCCAACACTATGAACAGAAAATTATCACTTCATGGTTTAACTAATGAAAATTGCTCCCAAAGAAATGATGCCTGACTCTCTAACATAGCATGGTTTAACTAATTCGTAGATAAACTTAATTGTGGATTAGGAGATTTCAAATGAGATTCATACTGAACTACATTGCACTCAAAACTCAGGGTATTACGTGATAATTGATAACCATAACAGCAATTTTTGCAGATAGTAGTTCAATATGAATCTCACTCTAGTTTTTGCACAGAAAGAATAGCAGTGAAATAAGTTAATTTTCACCATTTCAAATAACATGTACAAATAATGAATAAGCAGAAGAAAGCCAAAAGAGTAAAATTAAATTATCAGTCAATGATGTCTTAATTAATGAGACAGCCCTCGTGAGGATCCCTATATGATGGAAAAAAATGTCATTCCTTAATATGAATTAGATTCAGCAGCTGCTAAAGGTTATGCTTTAGACCCTACAAGCCTCATATCTCGTATATAGACAAAAAAAATATATATATATATATATATATATATATTTTTTTTTTTTTTTTTTTTTTTAAGAGATCCGTTTGATTAGTTAAATATTATGATATTGTACGAGACAAATATATTTATCTTATGTTTAATTTATAAAATGATCCTGAAACAGCATAAAAATCTAATTTTTTTATTATTCAATAAATTCAGGAAAAAAAAATTTCAAGTAAAAAATTCATTGATATAGTGTTATACTAATACCAAAAGCCCACTATTACCTTGTCATTGTCACAGTCGTTAATAATTAATATTACAAAGATATTATAATAAACTTAATATATTTTTATTTGTAATGTCTATTATCTATATAACAATATATAAAACAAAATGTTGTCCCATAACTCAGACATTGTTTAGTATTGTTATTCTTGTCATGTATGCGTAGTACAACCACCCAACATATATTTTCTCATTTATAGAAAAATAAAAATAAAAATCTCTCAAATTTTGCTTTTAAGTTTTTCTTATCGTTGGACCGGGTCTGATGCATAGCATAGATGGCAATTGCTTTCTACACCATTTTATTATATCTTGCAATTGTCATTATTGTTTCGGAATGGGTACAAAGTGGAATGGGAGCGAGGTGGGATGGTTACAAATTTTAATATTTTTGTGTCCCGTTCTTGTAGTTTATACTTATATATGTTTTAGTACCAATTTTCATTAGTGTTTGTTTCTTTTTCTCCCATAAACTCAATTTTATTACATATTTTCCCCATGTTGCTCTTTGGTAATATCCAAAAGTGTTGGAAATTGAGGAGACCTCTAACGAAAAACCAACGATATGAAATTTACAAAAAACAATCCACGATCCATGGTGAAAAACTGGGGCCAACACAGACTTTAATCAAAACAAAGAATCGATTGAAAAACCATAGACGATGAAGACACGGATTTGAACAAAAAGAAAACAACCTGCGTAGAATCCGTTGCGTACATGAAGACTTCCACACAAACTTCTACCGATTTTACTGTCCAGCACCAGCAACAACCATACTTAGAGCAAAAGAACAAAAGAAATTCAAGAAACTAAATAATGGGCAATTACTTGATTAAAAATAATAATGGGTAAAAAAAAATTAATACACAAAGTGCTTGGGTCAAAACAAATTAGTACATGTTCTAATTGTATTTCACACATGTCAAATACCGATAGGTACATGTATAATGCACTAGTACCTCAATTCTATTAAATGCACCATAGCAGTTATCTTGTTCTATATCCACTCAAAATTTAATTAATTTTTCTTTTTATAAAAAACAACAAAAAAACAAAATTTCAACAGATTTACAATTATAAAATTACATTAATTAACTTTTATTTAAAATAAAGTAAGATTTATATAAATATCAGATAAATTTTAGAAAAATTAAATTAAATTTCCAAAAAAATTTAAAACAAGTACAGGTATAAGTATGAGTACTAGACAAATATTTATATACTTATCACAACTCTTATACAGAATTCAATAAATTAGATATTACTCATATTTATATTCATGCCAAATCAAATTAAATATTTTTCATTAAAATTCAAATATTATTCCCGATACAAATGTAATTATCGATATCATCTCTAATTGCAAAATCCCACAAAAGCAATTTTCAGCATTAATAAAGCAAGGCTATATGCTTAAGATCGTATATTGTGATAATATAATATATACATAAAGCTATATATTATATTATCAACTCTCTTAGAAAGAGAAACAAGTTCAGGAACCAAAGATGAAGGGTGGATTTTGATTAGGGAACTCTCCACCAGGATGCATTTCATCAGTAACATTAGGTGTGACCCTCCTAAGAAACTTGGCCTCTGAACCAGCCACCTATAATATGTTAACCAGTGTTTTCTAACAACTGAACCAGCCCAGCACTACTCACAAATATTACTGCAGAATGAGTAGGTAGAAGTGTAGAACATAGCAGAACAATGTGAAAATGATTTTTGAAAATAGCAAAATATTCTTTTTCCTCTAAAATTTCTTTAGTTTTACTATTTTACAAAATATTATAAAAGGACAAGATACCATTGTGTAAAGTCATAATAAACTGTTAGAACCAAATTAATATATATATATATATATATATATATATATCATTAAAATTATATCAAGATCAATATTAATAAATAATAAAATTAAATAATAATAATTGAAATAATATAATAAGAAAATTTAGAGAGAAAAAAACACCTTTAGATTAATTTATAATGTTCACCACTCCAAATTATATTAAGTAACCGTAGAAATAAATTTAGAAAAACATAAATTTTACTCGTGTTGTCTATATATTTTTCCTCATCCATAACTATTTATAGTGTCATGTGCTAAGTAACATATGCAACCAACCGAATTTTCACCGAGCCAATCCTATTAAAACATAATAACATAATCATTTTAATCCTATTAAAACGTTGATAAATAGTAATTTAAAATATTAAAATAGTTAAATAAAAATTAAATAATTTTTTTAATTAATTTTTGTACTTGTCTAAAGGTACACTAGTAATCTTTTCGTAATTTATGGGGCGAACGGGAGTTTCAAGTCAAGATACAAAAAGGAGAGGTACCTGCAAAAGGCACTCTAACGCTTAAGTCAAGATAAGCACGAATATTGATTGTACGACTATTTATACTAACTATGATGGGCTCAAGCATGGTAGACCTCATTCCATGATTACCAATTAGGTAATGCGATGACTAATGACATATTATCCCTTAACCTCAAGTTATCTCTGTTAACCATAATTTATTATGAGTTTCCAGTATCTTCATCTCGGCCTTCTCGGTGTTCAGCCCGATCGAGGGGGTGAGGGACATTGCGCATGTATCATGTATCTCTGGCAGGCTGAGACGAGATGTTCTATTGCATTCAGTTGTCTCGATTGCCGACATGGCCGAGACGACTAAGCCTATCACGTCAGGAAGAACCATGTGATTGTCTCGATGGCCGACATGACTAAGACGATTAAACGAAGACATTTAGAATGTATAACCATGCTGTGCGAGTTTGACTATCTTGGTTGTCGATATGTTTGAGATGATCAAACAAAACTTCCAAGTAGGCAGGTCGTGAATGTACGGATAGAGATAGC